TGGAATCCGCTGCTCAACATGAGGATGTGGATGGTGACCAGGAGTCTGGTTAAGTAATTGACTAGGAGGCCATCAAAGGTTGGGTTTTGATTTTTCCTTGTCTGCAGGATGAAATTTTGCCCGATGCAACAAGCTCACTGGGCTTTTGCCACTTTCATATTCGAGGGTGTTTGATTTCACTTTGGTGTTTTGAGTTTTGTTTTTTGGTCTATAAGTTTTCTGTTTCTGTACTTTTGATTCGAGATGAGTCGAGGTGAAAAACTACATGGCTACCACCCCGAATCCAAAGCTTTCGGACACACACAAGTGTTGGAAGGAATCGAGTGACAGTGAACGTGCTGCTTTTATGGCGGGCCGATCAGGGGTCCAGCGTTAGATGTCTTATGTCTGCCTTAGTTGGGATTCCAACTGGACCTATGGGTCTATGATCACCTCATCTTGAGGTGACTGCTGTCGAGTGAGGGGAAAAATCTTTGAGTGATCTGTCACGTGCATATGTTCTTTCGGAAACAGTGTGTGGTACCTTTTGTTTGTGTTTGGTACCTTTCGTGTCGTTCGTGTTTGGCACCATACATGTAGGCACAGTGCGTTTGAAATCCTTCACTGGAAAACAACCTATAGGAAAGGAATGGGCGAACAGGGGGGCCCCAAAAATGTGTACATCTTAACTTATGGTCCCAGTAGATTGAGGGGTTCGGGAATAGTAAGATAAGATGTTGTTTTGGGCTTGCTCCATGGTGTTGAACGCTTGAATTGTGGCTCAAATTGCAACCATGCCCAAACGTGCACTCAATGGTCCTGTGCCAGCAGCTGCAAAGAAGAAACTTGCAGCTGGGAGGAAGTATGCTAAGCAGGAGGTCTTCATTCACACGGACTGCAGAAGCTCTTGAGAAGTCTAGTGTGAGCTGGCCAAGCAGCGCCCCTGGCCCAAAAACCTATGACCAGAACCGGTGGGTGGGAGTGGTGGACGGTAGCGGAGCAATGGATGTAACAAAGTTTGAGCACCACTGTTATCATCATCCAAGTTTTGATGTCGCAAAGGCTTTGGCACATAAGATGATGACAGCTAGTTGTCATGAATTGACAGCTAGATACCACGAATTTAACTTGTGTACTGGAAAAGCTGAAGCAGGCGCAAGAGGCCATTGATCGGGAACACAAGCATGACCAATCAGCTGAACATGCCAAACAACTCAAGGAATAAGCCCTGACACCAACACTGCTGAGCATGTGCTCAAGGCAATGGGGCAAGCAGGGATCATCTTCAATGTAGATGGTAGACAGATAGCGAGAGCGAGAGATGGACAGCTAAAACATTTGGAAACCACTCATGGGGCCCCTTATTATTTGCGATATCAAAAGATGATGATAGCTAGAGAATGACGCTTCCTGGCACTTCAGGGTTCCCTCTCGTTTCAATTTGTTTTGCTGCAAGTCTCCTAAAACGCTTGTTGGTCGGAGCTGGCAGAGTCAAAATAAAACCTCACCTCGACTAATTATATTGTCATCGCCGCACCACCGAACCTCACCCACGCCAATCAGTTTCCACAGAATCAAGGAACCAAATCAGGCGGAGTTAGTGGCGGGGTTGGGTTCTCCCTGAAGAAACCTGAGCCCTTCTGCGTCCTAGCCTGGCAGCGCCCAGTGTACTTTGTTGGTTTCTACCTACTTGTGGCTTACCCGCCCCAACCAGCCTTTAAAAAAATATCATTTGTCACTACGTTAATCACGAAAGGGTGCTAGGCAACCTTGAGTTTGATAAGCTTTAGCTTAGGAGCGGGATTCTCCTTTATGACCTGATTTTTTGGTTTTCAAAAAGACTTTAGTTCGGGGGGGCCTATATGTGACGCATCTCATCGCCGGAATATCGGTGGTTCCATAGGTTTCGCAGCCATGGACCGAATCATTTTGGAAGGCTCAGGTAAGTATCACTACAGCAACAATCAACTTACCCTGCGAGCGAGGTGCCATCCATCGTTGCGCGCTGGAATAACCAGAGTGAGGTCGCCCCATATATGTTGCCTATTGTCCGACCTGGCTGCTTCTACGACCAGAACCGCCGATATTCCGGCGATGAGATGCGTCACATAGTCGACCTTAGCCGAAGCCATATGGCTGGCTTTCGTGCTAACCAAGGCGACTTCAATCTGGAGGACGCGAAACTGCTGCGGTCAACCGAGCATGTTTCTGTTTTGCTGTTGAATTTGGGTAACATTTAACCGTCCTCCTCATTTCAATGGACAGCAGCAATTGCCCCGAAGTCTCCAGGAAAGCGACCAATTTGGGTTCTGCCACACTATTTGGTTCGGAATGCTGCACACTGCACGATTTTCCTTGAAGCAGGAGGCCTGGAGAGACACAGCGATCTTTTCCAACGGTATAATAAGATGTGCCTTGTTGCCATGCCTGACGGGCACGCGCATCCGATCGCTTGTGTATGCTCATCGGACGACATTACGTCCAGGATTGAGCTTTTGCGCCGCATTCAACTTGATTCAGATCGCCTCAAGTGGCTTGCGCACGCGGCAACTTTTAGAATCATTTGGGGCGAGGTCGCTGAGGATACCCATGGGGGCATCACGGCCATGCAAAGGTGTCCGCACCTATCTTCGCCAAGCGCTTGAGAATGGCGAAGATCCTGTGGAGGATATGGGAGTGGGAGTCATCGTTTGTCCTGATACAATGGGCACTGCGCAGGCGACAACCGGATTCTGTCGGGCCGAGCCTATTGATGCCGCGAAAGTCCGACATTCCGGACTGGCAGGTATGTTGTCTGATTGCATCAGGACAGGGAAGAGCGCGCTCACCAAGGTCTTGGTGACGGCAGTTGCGGTCCAGGTGGACGTCATAGTTTGTGATGCGAACCTCTTCATAGGCACGACATTCCGATCCGGCGACAGGCTCCGTCCTTACTATATATTTTAGACCAGATCCTAGTTTCTGCAAATAAGCTGCGTGAACCTCACCAACGGAATACCTACAACTTTGAGGTCTCTACGCTTGCCACAGAGCAGCTTGCAGCACTAGCTGGACAGAATGCCGATGTAGACTGCCTTATGCAGATTGTGCTAAATTGTGGCAAAGATATGCACACGCTAGTGAAGAGGACATCCGACTTTCCGGATGATAAAGGCCGTATTGGATACGATGGACCTCCGCGTCAAAAAGAAACCCTCATTAAGGTATATTAAGGTCAATGAGTACCTGAAACATTTGAACAATTTAGATTCTGTCTAAAGAGCAGCGACAATGCCTACCGCCACCCGTTTCAGTGTACATTCCAGCTCGCTGCAAGATCCAACGTTCGAGTCCGAAGTGATGCTTCTGCACAATACCGAAAACAAAATGACGAAGAACGGTCCCAGTGGAGACGGCAAGATTGGTGGCAATCCTCTGCCTCTTCTTCCTCATGGCACCAGCCTTACTGGGACACTGGATACAGAGGGTAAAATGGAAGATGGTAAATGACGTCCAAATTGTCGACATTCCGGCAATTGAACATAGAGAGTTGTAGATGAGATTGGAATAGATATTGAAAAACTCCTTACAGCCTTGACGTGAATAGACTTTGAAGATTTCTTACAGCCTTCGAAAGACCTCCGACATTACGGAGATTTCTCAGCTTGATAATTTTGCCTTGAACAGTTTTGCGCAGATTCGCAAGACTCTACCTTTTGAAAGAACTTTAGATTGTCTGACGTCAAAGACTAACTTTGAGAGCCAGAATGGCATCTACAGTCAAGTTCTGCGATGCCAGAACTTTTGTAATTCATATGCACTCTTTTGTGCTTTTGCAGCCGTAAGCTTCGACGCGAAGAAAATTTGTGTCTGTTTGTGTTTTGTAAGGTCCTAGGCTCCCCTAGGCGTGTCTACGCTATACGTGTGTAGCGCCTGTTGTTCGTAGTTACTTGTACATACATTCTCTTCAGTCAGCTACCCCTTAATTCGTCTGCTGAAGACTTTGAAGCCCAATACTGCACTCCGTGCCATAGAAAAGTGTGCCCGCCGCCGCTCACAAGAGAGGGTCCAGTGTGCTTCACTGCCGCTTTGGGGAACTTACCCCTCATCCCCCCCCCCCTTGGGATCAAATCCCCGTTGGCTGGGACGAATCACTTCTCTCAATTCTATCGTTTGGATTCGAATGAATCTGCTGCTGCTGCTGCTGCTGCTCCTGCTTGGGCTGCTGCCGCTTGGTGGCCTGCTGCTGCTGGATGGTCTGCTGCTGCTGCTGCTGCTGGATGGTCTGCTGCTGCTGCTGCTGGTGGTCTGCTGCTGCTGCTGCTGCTGCTGCTTGGTCGTCTGCTGCTGCTGCTGCTGCTGCTGCTTGGTGGTCTGCTGCTGTTGCTGCTTGGTTGGTGGCTGCTGCTGCTGCTGCTGCTTGGTGGTCTGCTGGTGGTGGTGCTGCTGGTGTTGCTTGGTGGCTTGCAGCTGCTGCTGCTGCTTGGTGGTCTGCTGTTGCTTGGTGGTTTGCTGCTGCTTGGTGTGCTGCTGCTGCTGCTGCTGCTGGTCTGTTGCTGGTTTGCTGCTGGGTTGCTGCTGGTCTGCTGCTGGTTTGCTGCTGGTCTGCTGCTGGTTTGCTGCTGGTCTGCTGCTGGCTTGCTGCTGGTCTGCTGCGGGTTTTCTTGCTGCTGCTGCTGCTGGTGCTGCTTGGTGGGCTGCTGCTGCTGCTTCTGCTGCCGCTGACCTTCGGTTGCTTCCCAACCTTTCGTCCACCCCCTTTTCTCAAGTAGTGTCGGTTGCCTAATCTCAGGCGACATCGCCTCATGCTCAGCATAGCTCCGTTTACTTTGCCTCGTCTCGAAACTTATCAGACCTCATCCTCCAATGTCGTTTGCTTTCTCCTGTTCCGGCGTGTGCTGTGCCCTTAGTCCACTACAGCTACCCTGGGAACTGTTGTGAGGTTGTAGGTTCGATGCATGTAACAATGTAGCATCATGTAGCCAGCATACTGTCAATGCGTTGGACCATAAATGGTGGGGCTGAACCGTGCCCGCAACAAGGGACCGAACCTTGGATGACGCGCCGTGCAGTCTTGAGAACTTGGGCGAGCTTTGCGATGAACCGGATGCGCATTCTTGTGTTCGAGTTCCAGCTGGATCCTACACCTTCCGTCTTTGTATGTCATACTGTCCCGGTGGTACGATGCTACCACTTGCAAAGCCTTATTTTTACATATCCAAGCATTCCCAAGTTGCGACCCCAATCAATGCAGACCAGACCGAGTACCAGCCAGTCATCGATACTTGCGTGCCTCTTTATGCCTGCCTGAGTGTGACTGGGCTGATCATGGGCTGGATGGAAGACAAAACAACCACTTTGCACAGCCTTAGACCTTAGACTTTTTGCTACGATTGTACCAGGGAATAATAGATAAAACAAAAAACACATATTTAATTATGTTCAATTTCAGCCTGCCACTGATTGACCGAAAGGCAAATCAGTGCAGCGCGGGCTATGAAGGTCTCAACTGTGGGCAGTGTGTCTTTGGTTACTTTGGCGACGCTTGCCAGGAACAAGGCAGAGAGGACCAGATAGGAGGGCAGAGATATGCAGAGATCAGATCTGAGCTATGAGGTTTTCAGACCTGCTTTGAGGATCCCAATTCGGACGACTGCGTTCAGTGCGGGGAGGAGCAGCAGATTGGCACTTTGATCATGGCTGCTGTGGGAATGATGGGAACGTTTGGTGCCTTCTTCCTATCTTTGCTCTACCTGATGCTCAACTTAAACTCTGCAAAATTTGTTTTGTATCGCTTGCCTCCTTGTAGCATAGCATTATTGCTAGTACGTTGATTGGTAGTAGCATGCGCAATTATTAGCCTCATTGACAACAATTGCAACGAAAACCGTTCAAAACTCATGAATCAGTACCAACTCCTCACCTTGCCCTTTATTTGTAGCCACCCTGCCTTTTTTGGGACTTGTACTCAGCTTCTGTTTGCAAGACTACTGTCGTGAAATATGGCACCTAACCCAAATGTTTTCTGCGGAGAGTTAAACATTTGGCGGCAGATGTTTTTCGTAAGTTCACGCAATGATTGCTGGTTTTACTTTTTAGTGTTTTGTGTTTGTTTTGTCGATTCAAGCCATGCGTGAAGAGGCCAAGGCGTCGTAAATAGCGATGTTCCCCTGACTTCTCATTTTTTGGTAGCAACATGAATTCTGGCAGTTTATAATGTAGTGAAGTGAAGGGTGGAGATGAGTGATGAGGTGCTGGTGAAGTGTGCAGTTGGTGTACTGGACGACCGTCGAATCAATTTAGGGACAGCAAGTGGCACAGCTACACCAAGGTGTATATAATTTCCCCACACCGCTTGATGCAACTATGCGACAGCAGGTCCCAGATAGGGAACTCAATTCGCCGACCAAACGAACGAACATAGCATATATATTATATATATAATTATGAGCGTATATTTTTGAAGCTTCTTAGTAACCCCATGCTACTAGTGGTGCTTCCTTGGGGATCGTTTCACTAGGAATCGTTTCACCTGTAGTAACAATAAAGACTTTTAGTATGTCTTTGAAGCTACTAGGAGCAAGGACGCTACTAGGGGGAGGCCATCACTCTTAGGTTGGAGGCCATTGCTGCTCATACTAGTAGCAAATTGCTAATTTTGAGAAAGGAGTTGGTGAAGTGTTGAAGGCGTGGTGAAAAGGACGAGATTCTTTGCCCACAAGGTGCCGTTCAACCATAAAGGGAGACAACCGGAAATCATCCGTGATCGTAGGCGCATGGCTGCTGAGATTCACGTTGCCGGTTGCGTGTTCACTGTGCACAGCGTGCCAATCAAACATGGTGACTTACCTGAGGAAAATGCTGTCTGATCCCATTTTCAAAGGCCAAATCAAGCTCTATGTTGCCCGCAACCCGGCACCTCATGAGAGCTGGGTATTGTATAATTATGTAACCCTGTTTGTCGGGTACAGGGGAGGCGTCCGGTAAAGCGTTTTGTAACCTGTCATATCTTGTGAGCATGATGACGTGGGAAACATGCAGCAAAACCTTGGACACCAATGTTTTCAGTGCGATACTGGTAGGCAGGATTGTGGATAGAATGAAAGCTGCCATGGGAGTCTCTGGAGGCAAGCTAGCGGCATATGGCAGAGTTATATTTGTGCTCAGTGTCAGTTGCAGTTTAACCACTTGAAGGTGGTGGCGGCAAAAATCCTTTGGTGAAGTTGGCGGACAAGCTCCGATTCAAAAGGGTTACCTTGGTCATTCGAAAGCAGGATGTGTCTGGCTTCTTGGTACTTGAACGTACGGTTTGGGACAGCTGGAAGGGGCTTGCTGCCAATGTAGCTGTTGTACTTGTTCCAGTCTTTTCTTGAATGAGTTCTGTGTTTCAAGGACAATCTGTTACTGACCACCCCGAAGCTAAGGCTATTGGCACTACTTCAAGAACCGCGACCTTGGCTTTGTCTTCCGGGTTGACCGTGATCGTACCGTGCACGTGGCTGGCGTTCGCCCGGGATCACCTGCCTCGCGCATGGGCATCTCCCACTCCTGGCGGCTGCTGGTCGCTTAAGTGCAAAATCTGAAGCAAATTAATTGCACGAGCGTGTCATTGCCACGCGTCGAACGTGCCATGGGGTACCTAGGAACCAGGATGGGCCGATGGGGCTGGATGTGTAAGCTGTGTACGAATTATCTGAACAAATGCCTCCTAGCTTGTGTTGGAACTTTCATTCCATTGTACTCAGGTCATCAATGGAAAGCATGTGCAGGCGGACACAGCCGCCTGGAAGTTCAATTCGTTGGTTGCACCGAGGTGCTAGGGCTGCGGATGTTTGTGGACTCAATTTTGGGTCTCTCCTCAATCAACTCATACAAAAACTAAAAACATTATAGAGACAGATATATGTATATATAAATATACATATATGTATCAGAATGAACAAACATAAACACAATGAATAGCTATATATGTGAGTGTTCAGGAACCAGATGCCATGCGCATGGCTTGAGTGCCCTCCGTTTCTCTTGGTTCAGATGCGCACAGAGCCCTATATTTGTAATTTGCACTGGTTAGCAACGGTGCGCGACTTTTCGACCGGCTTTTCGTGGTGGATGTAGCACCCATCACCTTGAGTTGGCACCGGAGCCGCCATGGATGCTGGCGAGACTTCACTTCTGGCCGGTTGGACTGGCTTCAGAGCTGGCAGAATTGGAGGACCTTCATGTGTCCATGGATGTTGATCCAGGTGTGACACCATGCCGATGCCTTCGTTGTCACTCAGCCACTGGCCGGTTGCAGGCACAGCTTCGCACCTTTGCGAGGACTGCGGTCCCGATGAGGTTTGCAATGCCCGTGCACCAACTCGCCGCGAGACAGGTGAGATGGAGTTTGGACGTTTGTTCCCAGAGCCGATGGAGCGCCTGCTGTCGACCCGCCTTCTGACTCTCCCCGGAGGCCTGCAGTTGATCTTGATGATCCTGTGCTGTGGGAGGATGATCGCCATCTGCAAGGCCTAGATCCTGAGCTGGCGTCTTCGAGGTCGAGTCGACTGCGACCAAAAAAGAGACCGCTGTGCAGAACGTTTATAATGACTCCAAGCAGACCGTTCCGATTTCACCTACAGCCAAAGTGAAGCCTAAGGCGAGAGCTGATGGAGCGCAATGAGATGTGGATGGATGCACCTCGAGCGACAAGGCGATTCAGCGTCTGACAAAAGCTGGAACTCCTGAAAGGGACCCGCGCCCGGCTTGAAGTGGCGCGGCGGAACACCGTCACAACCTCCGAAGTGGCAGTGCCAGTCGGGTGATTTGAGGGCCTATATGCAAAGTATGAGGGGTGTGTACAGGTTTGGCAGTTGCAGGTACAACATCACTTTGCAGGAGCAGGGGCAGCATTGATGGTGTTTTTTCAACTTCGCTTTTTTGGCAACCCTTGATAAGGCCTTAATAAGATTCACCAGAAAATCTTATGGATAAAACTTGATCGTTTTGGTGGCCCAAGATGATTGGAGCCAAATAGGGGTTTAATAAGGACGGAGCGCCAGAGAATCACCTCCTGGCAGAAACCAGTATCTACATCAATAGTGGAGAGAGAGATTTGCAAGACTCGACAAATTTCTAGGAAGAGGGTTTCTGAATTTTTTCAGTGGGTGCAAGCAGGGCCCCATGGCAGCATCCTGTGCACATTTCTTTCTACTGTAAATGTTGTGGTCTCCGCGTCTCTGGCTGGAGGCCCCTCAGGGGCATCGTGGCCAGTGACCCCCTGGGCATATTACGAATGAGTTCTAGCAATTCTCAAGCTCTTCACGGTCGTGGCCAAGGGTATGGGGCAGCGGCATCGTTGCTGAAGCACTACTTCAAGTTTTTGCAGTAGTTCTGCAGCTCTTCACGACTTGGCGTTGGCCTTGAACCCCAAGTCTTCAAATTAAATAGGCAAGGCCAGGCAAGGTTTCAAGACGCGGACCGCGCATATCAAATATTTTTCGGGAGGAAGGTTGCCCTAGAAAACTGTTTCAGTACAGCCTTCCATGGGAAAAGTAACAAGATCCAAGTCGCACAGAGAATTCAGGATTTGGATTCCTGCGGTTCCAGGATGAAATTCAAACGACTGGCAAGCATATGGCAAGCATCCCCAATAGGGCCTTATTAAAGGCCACGCTAGATATGAGCTCGCGCGCAATCGCTGAAGTGCCCGATTAGTGCTCAAAACACAGCGTTGGTGGGCAGAGGGGGGGGCATAACTGTTCATGATATGATATGTTGTGTCAAAATACCTCACTACGAGCGCAACAGTTGATGTGGTTCATTGAATGAGTTGGCGTCAGTGCTCACGGTTACATCAAGCGAGCTCAGAGCGGAAGCGCGCATCAGAGCTTGCTCTGCGCGCGGGGCCGTTGTGGACACTGGTCCGGCGATCCGGCGATCCATGCAAGGGAGGTGGCAAAAGGAAGTGGAAGGGCAAGTCGGCATGCGGCAGGAGGGGTGCCAGGGGCACCATCATCACCGACCTTCGTTGTGACCCATGGGGTTGAACCGCCGGACGACCCTGCAGACCCTTCAGACACCTTCTACGCCTTCATGACCAAGTGAGATTGTTGACCAGTTGGCATTGTGTTTGTCGCAGAGCAGAGTCGCGTGACCTTTCAGGTTGCATGCTTTTGGGCACCGCGTGCCAGATGTCATGCGCAGGCATCAAGCGGACGCAGACCCACAAGAAACTCCTCAACAACCACAGTCTGGTATATGCCGCTGCTACTTTCCAGCATTTTTTGCAGGCCAGGACGCCCAGGGCCTTGTGTCAGGAGTCAGCGTATGGATCTTCCAATTCCGTTTTTGGCATGTCGCAAGAAGAATCCTGCGAGCCTTGTGCAGTGGCCCAAAAGTCAGAACTCCTGAAAGCAGCTACTGGTCAACTTCCTCCCCGTATTGGAGGTTGAGGTTGCTTGGTTCGCTGCGTAGGCTGTGTCGTGGTCGACCACGGCGCCACACTCCGAGATATCACGGCTTCGGGGCGCAACGCGATTTCAGGACCCGGCTTGCTCCAAGCAACGACTCCTTTACCTGCATTTTAAGTGCTTGAGACAGATGGCACGGCAACGTTCATGGCTGACATGGAGCAGGAGGTGAAGGAACTGCGCTGCAAGGAGTTGAACAAGCATAGAGTGTCGCAGAAGCATTGTGCTCACCCAGACTACCAACGGTACGGCAATGCTTACGGGGAGGAGATGCGACCGGAAGTTCAAGCTCCCAGAGCACGAAGCCGCCTGGGTGGAGTACTCCCTGGCGGCCAACACCTTCAAAAAGGGCGCCCTCCAGGCCACAATGAAAGCGGCCTGGTGGCCTGGCCCAAGCGCGTGCAGGGAGCACCTCCCAGCCAGACAACATCATTATGACGTCGGTGCGTCGAGTTCGACGCATGGGTACGAGGGTATGACTGAGACACTCGGATCGGACATATATCTACATATCCGGACTCCGACAATCCGGACGGCTATCCGGAGGACGAGGGGCTGGTGAACAGTGACCATAAAAAGGACTTCTGCTCGGCTCAATGGGTTGCAGGTCAAACAAGGCCGGATGTGGCAAGCGTTAATTGTTTCGTTGCGCCGCAAGGGTACCAAGTTGACCTATGCGGACTTACACCACCTTTAAACAAAAGCAGTTGAGCGCCTACACGCCACGAAGTCGGATGGCATCTGGGTGCGGCCTTTGGCCTACGATAACAGTTAGGGCTCTTCATCGCAGTGCGCTGATGCAGTCAGCGCTGGAGTGCATGTTGGTGGATTGGACAACACGTGTGTGTCGGTTGTATGTTGTTGGTGGAGGCCAGTGCCTGTGACATGGGTATCGATCGTGCTTTGCTTCATGTCTTGCTGTCGGAAGTCATGTTCCGCGAGAAGGCCTTCAAGCTGGAGAAAACATTGAGGACATTGGTGTGACAGACAGCTTCAGTCTGTATATGACGTGCTGATCTCTGAGAACCCAACGACGGAGGACAAACGCACGACATGGTGGTGATTCGGGCGATCCACGGGCTCCAGCTGGCCGATATGCTCACGAAGTTGAGCGACAAGCTCATAGAGCGGTTCACGACTTGGTTGCGCCATCCCTGGATCCAGCTCAGAGAAGCGGCAGGACACCCCAACCGCCACTCAAGCCAACAAAGTACGAGGAGTATGAGTTTGCAGGAACCAGGTGCCATGCGTATGGCTTGAGCGCCCTCCGTTTCTCTTGGTTCAGGTGTGCGCAGAGCCCTAGATCTTTGTTTGAGGTGCCCGACTTTTCAAATTTTCGACCAGCTTATGAGAACACAATAAAACAAAGTATATCTATAATCATGTCCCTGAAATCGGAGGTCCAAAACAGGGTCAGTGGAAGGATCGCAGTACTTTGTGGACCTTGAAGTGCAGATTTCGTGGTAGGTGCAGTACTTTGTTTGTAGAATTGCGGCAAGAGGATATCAACCTGCCCAGAGCCAGACACACAGACAGACAGTCCGCTTCAGTATGGGAACCTTTAGTTGTAACTTATAACTTATACCTTTAGTTATAAATAGGTTATACTGAAGTTAGTCAAATGTCGTAGTCATTAGTTTTTATCTAATTTGTAAGGAAGTTTTAAGTTCCGTAACTTCAAAAGGCTAATTTTTCGAGTCAATTTTGATCACTGCTACCATTGATTCACTAATTTCTCTATAATTGAAGTTTTGTTGTTTTTGAGTAAAAAAAGCTTGAAAAACCAATGATTTTTTAACCAACAAAGTAGTTCAATCAAAAAATGTGCGGACCACCGCCAAACAAAACTAACAAGAACAAGTAGTTCAACGGCAAAATGCGCGGACCACCGCCAAACAAAACTCAGAATGGGGCTTTATCAAAATCTTAGATTTTGAAATTGGAAAACGCCAGCTGACGTACAGTGGCCAATGATTGTTTGACAAATGTTGCGACATCAAGTTGAACACAAGCACATTTAATCACAAACATCTTCGAAAAAGAACATATACATACATGTGCGAAAATGTATTATAAACTAATGTGTCCGTATTCATCTGTATGTGTCTGTATGCACTTGGATACTTTTGTATGCATCTGCACGCATACCTCTGCCCATACTTCTGCCCATACCTCTGTATACCTCTGCCTAGGGCATACCTCTGTTTACCTCTGTGTACATCTGTCTTCCAGCTCGTCGCTGTTGAAATGGAAGTTGAAGCTGAAAAAAGTGTTAGAGTCTTTGTGTTTAAGTCCTGGTTCACTTTGTCCTGGCAGCCAGGACTTTAACTAGCAGGCTACCATCCTGGCAGCCAGGACACCGCTCAAACAACATGCCGCGATGAAAACTGGAATTCCAACAGAAATCTGGCCAACAAAAAACATCAAAGATGTAGATAACACAAAAAGGGAACCAAAATAAGTCAAGAAAACAGGTACCTAAAAAGAACACGTATTCTATCAATGTCAACAAGGGAACCCAAAAAACAATGAAAACACATAGCAAAATGCTAACTTCCGTAACTTCAAACTAACTTCAGGAGCAGTTTTTAAAAGAGCTTATAAGTAGGTTATAATTACAGTAAAAGTATATGTAAGTTATAACTTGAAAACGAACTTAGTATACTTAAAGCCAATGTATAACGTATGTTACCGTGACTTATAACCTAACTTGCCCCAAGTTATATAATCATCCTGGAGTAGAAAGAGTCTACTTTCGTAGGTGTGTTTTTCTTTTTGAAAAACTCAGGGTTTTTGACATCACTTTCATTGTATGAAGACTGACCCTATAGATAGAATATAGTGTATTATCTAAGCTTTCCTTTCCTTTTTCCCCACCTGCCAGGTGAGGGTTGTTATAGACTTTATCACAGCTGTTCTTCCCTCCGCCTCCGCCTCCGCCACCTCCTCGTCCTCCTCCTTCCTCCTTCCTCCTTGCTTCCTTCCTCGCCAATCTGCTTGGCCGATCTTGCGTGGCCAGCTCCGAATCGCAGTGTGCACCCCTGGACCTCAACCGCAAGGATCCCCTCGCAGTGTGCACCCCTGGACCTCAACCGCAAGGACCCGATCGCAGTGTGCATCCCTGGACCTCAACCGCAAGGATCCGATCGCAGTGTGCACGCCTCGACCTCAACCGCAAGGATCCGATCGCAGTGTGCACCGCTGGACCTCAACCAAATAGTTTGTCAGACAAAATGCCAGATAGTATGCCAGACAGTATGTCAGATAGATTGCGAGATAGAATGGCAGATTGAATGGCAGATAGTATGCTTCAATCACACAACCACAAACACAACCACAAGCTCACAACCACAAACACACAAATACAAACACATAACCACAAGCACACAGCCACAACCACAACCACAAACACGCAACCACAACCACAACCGCAAACACAACAACAAACACAACCACAAACATAACGACAAACACACACCCACAAAGACACAACAATCGACACACAACCACAGACACACAACCACAAACACTCAACCACAAACACACAACCGCCACAACAAACCACAAAGACACAACCACAAACACACAACCACAAAAACAACCACAAACATAACAACAAACGCACACCCACAATCACACAACAATAGACACACAACCACAAACACAACCACAACAACACAACCACAAAGACACAACCACACACACAACCACAAACACACAACCACAAACACACAACCACAAACACAACCAGAAACACACAATCACAAATACACAATCACAAGCGCAATCACAACCACAACCACAAACACACAACTACAAACACAATCACAAACACAACCACAGCACACAACCACAAACACAACCACACACACAACCACAAAAAGAACAACAAACACACAACCACAAAGACACAACAATAAACACACAACCACAAACACACAACCACAAACACAACCACACACACATCCACAAACACACAACCACAAACACACAACCACAAACACAACCACAAACGCACAACCACAAACACGCAACCACAACAACACGACCACAAAGACACAACCACAAACGTACAGCCACAAGCGCAACCGCAAACACATCCACAAACACACCATCACAAACACACAGCCACAAACACACAATCACAAACACAACCACAACCACAACACAGCACATAACCACAACCACAACACACAACCCGAGGACCCACAAGCAAAATCGAGAATTACAATACTCACGACCATGGCAACATGCTCCTCACTATGGCATCAAGTCAAATGATTGAAATGTCATGGTGGGGATCACTCGAAGTAAAGTAATTTTTTTTAGAACGAACAGAAACTAGAACGAACAGAGAAGGGAAAGGACAACAAAGGAAAAGGAAGAGAAACCCCTACAACCATATTCTATCTATGGGGTTCGGAAGGGCCGGCTTTGAAGAGTGAACTGTTTGTTGAAAATTCGTCCATTCTATCTACTCCAGGATGATTATAACTTGGTATAACTAAAGCTTCCCATACTGTTGACAGCAGAAACGAGAGGCAGACAGGCTGCGCAGAGTCAGCAACGCAACATGGTCGATTTTGAGGGTGTGTTGGGACTTATTTTGAGGGAGCTTGGGGGAAGCTAATTGACAAACTATACCCAAAATCGACCATGTTGGTAGTTTAGTAGCGGTTGGAAAGGGCGGTAATTGTACAGCAAATATATACCGTATTTAGGGTTTCGGACATTGTGTTTTTTAAATGGGGATGCCTTTTTAATAGGCACCCGGGATCATTTAAATGGAAATTGGGCACAGTGCAAACCTCAGATCCTTGCGCCCCGAAAACAAGTTTGAACTAATTTAAATATCAGGCAATTGCGTGAGCGAAGCCTTCATGTTTTCCATGCGGATAGCGCATAGTGCAACTGTAGCTTGAGGAGGGCAATGCTGGGAGCAAACTGTTTAAGAGAAACGGCGCCTGATTGTCATGAGTTTGCCATGCCCGGATTCAGTCTTTGGCCATAGCTTTCTTGACTCAGGAGCAAGCTGCCTGGCTGCATTTTTGGGCAAATTTTATGAACAACTTTGCTTGTGCTGTTCTGCAATCCCTCCAACCTTTGAGCCACAGTCGACACTCCTCAGTGTCGACTGTCATGCTTCGAGGGAGAGAGAGAGAGAGAGAGAGAGCGAAGCATGTATTTAGGATGTGCAAGATCAGTTGGCCCAGTGCAAACTTCCGCTGCTTGCTTGCAATCCAGAATTGTCACAACGCAGCCACATTGGTTTGAACTATGCGGCCAGGATATATTGTCTCTTCCGAGCACCACGGACAGAAAAAGATGATGAGGAGGCAGCCATTGACAGCTCAGACGCCAAGGACCATCGAGCGGAAACATAGCCAAGGGTCTTGATCGAGTGGCAGCGCGAATGTTTTAGCCGCTCTGGTTGAGTCGGTTGACTGTCCTCAAACATGGTCTTCCACAGGCTATCGTTCATTGTTTTTCCCTTTCCAGGAGTTGAGCGCCTCAGGGATGCGTTTGATTACGATGTCTCTTGGAATAATGCAGTCCTTCAACGGCATTCAGCGCATTGACATTGAATGGCCTGCGGCCTGGCATCAATACACTAGCACAATGTGACCCGTTAAGTACTCCGCGTGAGTTTTTTTTGCAATTTGTTTTTTCATGCTTTATTATCAATCCATAAACAGACCGCGCACTTGTGCAACTGCCAGATCTATATACCAGGAACTTTTCACCAAGATCATGGAAATTCTCGCCAACTTTACCTTTAACTTCAATTTCTTTCAGCCAGATTGCAGTGTGTCTAGCCCGTACTGGTATACTTGGCTGGGGCTGCCTGACTGCAGGAAGGTTGCTGAAACAGGCCTTGGTGTGGGAAGGTCGGAGATTGTCAGAGCGTGTCCAAGGTTCACTGTAGCGCCATACTTCATGATGGCGCCGATCACTTTCTCATACATTGTTGTTCGCTGGATGTCCTTCCGGGAAAGTCGTGGTGATCCGCAATACCGGGCGGCTTGGCTGGCCTTGTTGTGTAGATGCAATACAGAATGCCGCTTCATGTTTCCAAGTCGCACAGCTCTGGCTGGCAGAAATACTCAGGAAGTGCAAAGTTGGCTGCTGTTGAATGCATGGGGAAGGGCCATGCTGACAATCCTGTTGCTCTTCATCCAAATGCACATGACAAAGCTAAGCTCACCGTTCCAATGCAATACTCTGAAGGATGGATCTGCTGTCATGGTAGATTCTACGGACATCTACTGCAACTCGGGCTGCCCACCTGGACTCGATGCACGCACCGAAAAGACTCACCTATGGACCTATATATATTATAACTAGACGACGAGTGCCCGAAAGCATTTTTCATCACGTAGGAAGTCAGAGTGTGAGTTATCTGTTAAGTGTTCAGTGTGAAGTGTTAAGTCGAGTGAGTTGAGGCAGTGTGTGGGTCTCTGTGTGTGTGTATCTATGTCTGTGTGTGTATGAGTCTCTGTCTGTGTGTGTGTCCGAGTAAATTGAGGCAGTGCGTGGGTCTCTGTGTGTGATTTGTGTGTGTATGAGTCCCTGTCTGTGTGTGTCTATGTCTGCTGCTGGTGAAGGTCTTCACTGTAGATATAGTGAACGAAGTAGCGCGCAGGCCTCCCAAACCCCCACCGGCGGCCAAGCGGTGACAGCTCACGTCGTGAGCATTTGACCTGCTGGTAAGGGCAAATGGTGAATTTCTTCACTGTAGATATAGTGAAGGAAGTAGCTTGCAGGCCTCCCAAACCCCCCACCGGCGGCCAAGCGGTGACAGCTCAGCTCATCTTCGAGAGCATTTGAGCTGCTGGTAAAGGGAAATAGTAAAGCACACAGCTCTTCTGTCTCAAAAAGCCCGACCCTCGCTGAGACGTAACATCCACCTCAGAGTGTCCATTCCTTGAGAAGCAGCGTGCACGCCTCCAGGAAATCTCACTGAAAAAAGCAAGCTGGAATGAAAATAGAAAATTGTTGAGGCAGCTACGCAACAAGTTTGTCGAAGCAGTGACCTGTCAGAGGAGATGCGTCCATCGATATACGATCAGAGGTCACGTTTCCTGCACTCTGGGACACAGCTTCTCTAGGATGTAGTTAACCAACAACTATGCTTGTCATTGTCTAATTGACTGTCTCAAAGAAAAACGTGACAAAGTAGCATGAGGTGACACACAGCAGCCACTGCATATGTTTTAGCGTACTCTCTTTGCTCAGCTCGCGACTAGTCTTTGTACACAGAAAAGATAGTTTATGTCTAGTAACCGCCTTGTTGTGCTTCCGCAGAACGACGTCCACACAGGAGGTGTTTGGAAGAAGTCACGGTATGAAACACGCAGTTGGTTTCCATGTGAACATCTTGTTATTTTTTCACCTCCATTCAGGGTCTTTGCCTAGTTGGGCAGCAAGGTCTTCGCCAGCCTGGTCTGGGTCTAGCGCGTCGACCCGAAGCAGATCTGGATGGTGTAGGCATCTGTGAAGTTGTGGCTGTTGTTCCTCACCCAGTCTTCCCATCCATTGGACCACCTGACCACTCGCCAAAACTGCCCAAGTAGCTTGGGGTGACACGCAGCAGCCGTTGCCTATATCTTCGCGTGCTCTCTCTGCTCAGCTCGCGACTAGCCTTTGTATACGAAAACCATTTCCCTAAAATATGTCTAGCAACGTCCTTGTTGTCCTTCCGCTGAACGACGTCCGGCTTGAGCAACTCGGTGTCACTCCAGGTCTTGTGTGAGTTTTGGGTTAAGTGTGAAGTGTTCAGTCTAGTGTGTCGAGTCCGTGTGTGGGTCTCTGTGTATGTGTCTACTATGTGTGTATCTGCGTCTCTGTCTCGACTCTGCACAGGTGAGGGGCTGCAGACGTCCATGCGCAGATGACAAGGCAGCACAACAGTCTGGCTCAGGAGCGCCCACCTCTTGGTGTCTTTCTCCCTACGTCCGCCCACTGTTCGCAAACATAACCCACGCTGAATAGGTCCTCAGGTAATACCACCACTCATTCCTCTGAGGCGACACGCCGTCTGCTACTCCGCGTACTACAGTTGTTCCACAAAGTCACCAGTTCTCCTCTTCCAGCTCCCCTCCTGCTGAAGTTGTACTACGACGTCCCCAGTTCTTATCTTCCAGCTCCCCAGGTCCTCCGCGTCCAAAGTTTTACTACGAAGTCGCCAGTTCTCATCTTCCAGCTCCCCAGCTACTCCGCGTATTAAAGTTGTACTACCAAGTCGCCAGTTCTCATCTTCCAGCTCCCCAGATACTCCCCGTACTAAAGTTGTACTCCAAAGTCGCCAGTTCTCATCTTCCTCATCTTGCAGCTCCCCCGATACTCTGCGTACTCAAGTTGTACTACAAAGTCGCCAGTTCTCAGCTTCCCGCTCCACAGATTGCTCCGCGTACTACATTTCGCGCACTCGACACGCACGATCTCCGCAGAGGGTTGCGCGCGCAGGGGACAAATTGCACTCTCGCCTGCATTTCGCGCACTCGACACGCACGATCTCCGCAGAGGGTTGCGCGCGCGCCGGACAAATCGCACTCTCACCTGCATTTCGCTCGCTCGACGCGCAGGATCTCCGCAGAGGGTTGCGCGCGGACCGGACAAATCGCATTCTCGCCTGCATTTCGCGCGCTCGACACGCACGATCTCCGCAGCGGGTTGCGGGCGGACCGGACAAATCGCACTCTCGCCTGCATGCGCGCTCGACATGCACGATCTCCGCAGAGAGTTGCCCGCGGACCGGACAAATCGCACTCTCGCCTGCATTTCGCGCACTCGACACGCAGGATCTCCGCAGAGGGTTGCGCGCGCAGGGGACAAATTGCACTCTCGCCTGCATTTCGCGCACTCGACACGCACGATCTCCGCAGAGGGTTGCGCGCGGACCGGACAAATCGCACTCTCGCCTGCATGTCGCGCGCTCGACACGCACGATCTCCGCGCCTGCATTTCGCTCGTGCACTCGACGCGCGCGATCTCCGCAGAGGGTTGCATTTTCGGTTGACGTTGTTCGTCCCACCCTCCGCCTTTAAGAGAGAATTTATAATGTGGGGAAATGTTTTTCATTAGGACATCTCCCGCGCAAGTTTTCCATACTCACACTTGCATACTCATCAGGACATCTCCCGTGCAAGTTTTCCATACTCACACTTGCATTACACTTAGATTTCATGCTCCGTGGTGCTACTCGTGCCCAGCACTAAGGTCAGATAGGATCGGAATGAGCCATGGTAGCTACCTCGTTTGTGGCTGTGGCAGGTGGATCTTTACGAATCGCCTGGGTGGTCACCGTTACTGCCATTGTGGTAGGAAGTGGATGCCTGAACCAGCTAAATCTAGTAAACGACCATCCAAACCACGACCACGCCAGTCTGACAAGGCTTGGGGTTGGAATCCATGGCACCAAACAGACTATGCACCCCTCATGGCTGAGCCGCAGCCAAAACGAATGGCCAATTTTGTGTCCCAACAACCCATGCCAGAAGTCCAAGGAGTTCTGGCCGAACACTGGGACCAATTGCCTGAAGCAGTGCAGTCAGCCCTCGTACAGGTTGGAGTGGACAGTCCTGAGTCGGCCCCAATGCAAGACGAGAGTGATCCCAAGTACATCACTCAGCAGTACAAGCAGGCCACAGGACACTTGCGGGCCCTGGGCCAGCGAAAGCTCCACCAAGACCTCAAGGCCAAACGGTTGGCCGAGCAGCTGGCCCAAGTGCAGAAGGAGCAGCAAGAGCTCCAAGCGCAACTGGCCGCAGCCCAGGCAGCCATGGAAGAAGCTGCTTCTAAATACTCCCAAGTGGTGCTGGCCAGCCAGATCTTGGAACCACCGATCGGCTCTTTGGACTCCGCGATCCCTCAAGAGCCCCAGGAGATCATGGCAAAGGTGGGCGACCTTCTGGCCCAAGCAACCACGACCATGGATCCCGACCAGAAACAAGAAATTCTGCACAACATGGCTGCTTTGCTGCAACTGGGCACGGACCACAAAAGACGAAGACGACAAGGGCCTGTGGACGGACAGCCGGCGCCGTCTGACCCAGACCGCTACATGGAAGGTTCGGACAGTCTTTGGCTGCAAGGGTAGCAGGGCTGAACCACCAGCCTTGGGTGTCTTCAAGCAGGGAAAGAGCTCTGTTGCGACGGGTGGGGGTCCCAAACCTTCAGATGGGGTAGGGACATGTCCTAGACCGCTGTTACCCGAACCATCTGCTGGCCAAGACCCTCACCCGGCGCCAGCGACGGTGAGCGCAAATAAGCCGCTCAAAATCTTCTTTGGGAACATCACTTCCTGGTCCCTCAAAGCAAAGCAGCGAATTCTCGGCCAAGAGGTCGACATTTGCGGTGTCGCCGAACACCATCAGGGCCCTGAACATTGGCTCCAGTTCAAAGTGGATTGGCTGACGGCTGGCTGGCAGCCGGTCATTGCCAATGCACGGTGCAACGAAACGGGAGGAACAACCGGCGGAGTTGCGTTGGCCTTCAGGAAACACCTGTCTCGCCTGGACGCGCCGGGAAATCATGACCACCGTTGGACTGCGAGCATTTTCCAAGCCAAAAACACAGAGATGCTTTTGGTCATGCTCTACTTGCAGGTTGGCGAAGGGCCCACCGGATACACCAACCGACAAGTGCTCACAGAAGTTGGTGCTTTAATCCTAACGTTGAACATCCCCTACATTGTGATGGGGGACTTCAACTGCGAACCAGAGGAGTTGCTAGAAACAACTTGGCTTAGGCGCATCAAGGGCAACATTTTGGCCACTCCAGATGCCACCATTAGTTCTGGGAGTGTCCTGGACTATGCAATCCTCTCCCATAGCCTGTGGGGACGGATGGAATTAGAAGTTCAGCACGATGTCCCGTGGGGCCCCCACTATGGGCTGCTTGGCACTTTACACCTGGACGGGCCTCTGCTCCAACCTTGCGAGGTGCTGGAGGACAGGCCGCCTCTGGATTTGTGCTCCGGTCCGAGGCTTCCCTGGGAATCTTTTACTGCCTTGGAAAATTTTGACACCAGTGCGATGCCAGAGTGCAACCATTTTCACACGGATAGTGAGCTCACTCAAGTTTTCGGCAAACTGCAGAGACAAGTTTCCAACTTTTTGAGTTCAACTTCCGTGACTCCTGTTCCTGCACGTGGTATTTCTTTCCAGGTTAAAAACCAAGAGCCAAAAGCGCCTGTACTAAGAGAAACCTCAGTCCAGGACAAGCAGCTTCAATACTGGCTAGGCCTACATAGATTGTTCAAGGATA